TTGAAATATCAAAATCGAACGCGTTAAAACGTAGAAGAAGAATTTAATTTTTTTTTTTTTAGGCCCCCCCTTTTTTTTTTAAATCGATGAGAGTGAATGTTTTAAATTATTTAATAATCGACTGGAGAAACATTCTGGAGACAAAATGAGAGAGGGAGAGAATTATCATCACCATTTTTAATATTTTTTTTTTGAGTGGTTTTAAACTCCTTCCGTTAAATTCATTCGATGGGGTTTTTTTTTCTTTTTTTACTTTCATTATTATTATTATTATTATTATTATTATTATTATTATTATTATCACTCTCCACCACCAACTACAACATCCTCATTATTATTATCTTCACGTGAATTATAATTTTTTTTTGTGTGTGATGTTTGGAACAAGTTTTTTTAACCCTATATACTCGAGAGCGATTAAATAGATATTCGAGCAAAGGGTTTTTCTTTTAAAATAACGTGGCAATAGATTTGTTCGTTCTCACGTACGTACGCGCGTAAATATTTTAAGAAGTTTTTAATTACGCGCAAAATCGAACGAAAAAATAATAATAATAATTTTTCTTTATTACCTTGATGAAAAAAAAAGTAATTTGAATTTTTCTTGTGTTTGTTTGTTTGTTCGTTTGTTTAATAATAATACGATTGAATTTAATAATCGTAACGTTGATGTTCGTGTCATTAGGTGCACGTGTGCGAGTGCGTGGATAATTTTTTTTTTTAAAGGTTGAATTATTACGTTCGGGTTAGTTACTGATCGTATTAAGGTCGTAAAGTCCACCACTCCCCGAAAAAGAAAAAAAAAAGAAAAATTAATTATTTCCTTCGGGATATACAAGAACCGATGTATGCGCGAGTGCGCGTGCGCGGTGGAAAACGCGTAACAAATTTCAAGGTCAAAAAAAAATCTCAAGGACATTAAAAACGAATGGGAATAAAAATGAGAGATGATTCGTCACGGTTACGTCGTCACTTTACCCCCTTACCAAATTCTCTGAAACTCCCTTTTTTTTGTTTCTCCGGTTTTGAAATTTCGATGCAGGTGAATAAACTGGAACATTTGAAAAAAGGACAATCAACCCTCGCATTTCAACCCTCTTTTTTAAGAAGAATAATAATGATAATAATAAACGAAATCGATTATGTAAAAAAAATAAAATTTCCTTTTTCTTTTTGTGTCAAAATGGGTCATCTATTTATGATGTTACCATAAACGTCGTCGAATAAATTCTCATGACATTATTATTATTATTATTATTATCATCATCATTATTTAATATTATCATCATTATTATTATTTGGGTCTGGATAATAAAAAATAATTTATTAATAATTTTTTTACCTGGGAATGAAAAAAAAAAATTTATTATTATTATGGGTTTTCCTTTTTTTGTGCAGAAAATAATGATGATAATAATAATGGCGATGGTGATGGTAATAAATGGAACAAAAGGTTTTTTAAAAAGGTCAAACAAAAAAAAAGGGAAGAAAAAATAAAATTTATAATATTGCCTAAAAATAATTTTCTTTTCTCTCTCTTTCTCTCTCTTCTCTCTTTTTTTCCAGGTCGTGGAATGTTCAGAATGATATGAGTGATTTAAATTTTTACTTGTCTTATTGTTTGTTTGTTTGTTTATTATTGTTATTATTTTAATTAAACAAAAAAAATTTTCACATTCGCAATGCAAAAAAAAGTAAAAACTATATTTATTCATTCTTTTATCATTATCATTATTATTGCAATTATTATCATTATCATCGTCGGTAGTAAACATCAGGAGCGTAGTCCGTAAAGGAAAGAAAAAAAGAAAATTCACACGAGAACAATTGCAATTTTGTTTGATAATTATATGATAAATAATCGTCTCTCGTCGTTTAATTTGTTTTAAAAATGATGATGATAATAATAATAATAATCCACGATAATTCTCCAGAATTTTTCCAAAACAGAATCACTGAAAGGAGAATCCATGACAAAGATCCATGGAAAAAATTCTAGTAACAAAAAAAAAAATTCCCAAATTTAAAAACAAAGTTTGCTGTCACTTTATAAAAAATTTCATTATAAAACATAGAAAAAAAATTAATTAAAAAAAAAAAAACGTGGCAGCAGAACATCCACCGCCTTCCGCACATCATTCGGTTATTATTATCATTAAAAAAAATATTTTACTCAAACGTTAATAATTATATAATTTGTTAGAGATGAGCAAACAAACAACAAACAAAAAAAAAAATTTAATTATTTCGGAAAGCAATTTTTTTTTTTTTGTTTGCTCCAGGAGTAATTTGCAATTTTTTCAAGGTCGTTCAATTAATAATAATAATAATAATAAATCTCCGTGAGTTAGTTCGATTTCCGGTTGAAATCTTTGAACCGTTAATAATAATTTTTTTTGTGTGCATTCTAATACGGACAAGAGAGAACAAAAGTTATTTTGTTTAATGAATACCATTATTCGATCGTTTAATGAACTTTTTATATTCGAACGAATAAAAACGCAAAAACAAACAAACAAACAAACAAGCAACAAACAAAAGATAAAAACGATCAGCAAAAGTATCCGTTTACTCAACGAACGTCTCGAGAACAATTTTCTAAGAAAATGTATTATAATTCTTTCAAAAGGTTATTAAATAATAATAATAATAATAAAAATCCACGTTCCCGCCATCATCATCATCATCATTATTATTATTAGTTTGTTTGTTTGTTACCTTGAGGAAAAAAAAAAAAAATTTCAAGTCAAAATCGAGTTTTGTCTTCCGTTTCCGTTTCCGTTTTCCCGTCCGTCATTTTTAATTTAAAAAATTTTTTTTTTCTCGCCGTGTGAAAATCATCATTATTGTCGACCCTGGCGTTTGTTCGGAAAGATTCATCTTAAACGAACGTTTTAATTAATTCGTTTGTTTGTTTGTTTGGTTGTTGCAGGTGCAAAGATTGGCACAATATGAACAGTACTTTCAAGCACTTCTTGTGGAAGGGCGAGAAAATGAAGAATTGGCCAGGAGCAAAGCAGAAGCTAAAGATGTAAGTTTTTTTTTCTCTTCATTTTGCCATTTTTTTTTTCGTTCAGTTTTGCCAACTTAACGAATAAAAAAAAAAAATTGGTCGTCGATTAACTTTCCTTCGTTTTTTTTTTTAACTAAACAAACAATAACATGAAACATTTTTTTTTTTTTTAAACGACGACCGTTACTCGATATATTTATATACACGTCAACAAATACATACCAACTTACTCATGACGTGTAATTAGATACCACGTGACGTTTATCATCGTTTTTTTTTTTATTAATTAATTAATTTATAATTTTTTTTTTTTAAACGAAACACAATCGAACCTGAACTCGAACTCAACCTGATGAACGTTATCGAATTACATTATTATCAATTTTAACGAGGTTTATTACTTGGGGGGAAATGGGAGGCGGAAGGGAAAGAGTTCAAATGACGAAACCGAGTGAAATTTTCCTTCCACGTCGAATCGCATGAAGGGAAATTAGTAACCGCGCGCGGGTTTTTTTTTTAAATTTAAAATCTCTTTTTTTTTGCAACGAAATCGCGCGTACGCAAACGGAAACGGATCGAATATTTACTACCCACGCACTCACGCACGCGTTAAAAAAAAAATTAACCTTTGAAACGACGATTGAAAACAATAATAATAATAATAATGATAATGATAATAATAATAATAATAATTAAATAGTAATTTTAAGCTATTCAGCCATTTTTCGCTCGTGTTTTCAATTAGATATATGCCAGGTTTTAAAATAATTCTATTAAAAAAAAAAAAAAAAGCCTTATTCCTAAATAATAATGATAATAATAACGACAATGATTGTTATTATTAATATCATCATCATTATCATCGTCAATATTATTATTAGTGAAAAAAAAAAAGTCGGAATAAGCCAAAAATTATTTTTTAAAAAAAAAAAGGAAAAATTGCTTAATTTTTGTTTTGTTTCTTTTTTTTTTAACATTCGGAATCAATTAATAAAATAATAATGATGATGATGATAATAATAATGATAATAATTTACGAAACATTAATTGAATTAGTATTATTATTATTTAAAAATTAATTGAAAACATTTAAAAGAGTAAAAGAGAGTTTTGTAAGTAAGAAAGAAAAAAAAATGGCGGTCACGCTACAAAGTCCGAATCGTTTTATTATTATTATTATTATTATTATTATTATTATTATTATTATTATTATTATTACGTTTCGTTCATATCGTTTCCTTCTGTGTCAGCATCTTAAAACGATTTAATTGTTAATTGGTCGAATGTAAGCAAGAGTTTAAAAAAAAAAAGATTTGCGGAAAGAGAGTCCGCAGCAAATTTTTTTTTTTTATTGTTTGTTGGGCGTTTTTTTTTTTTTTAAACAAATCAACATAATTAATTCAATTGTGTTTTTGTTAGTCAAACGATTCGAACGTGTTTTGTCATCGTTATTATTATTATTACGCGGGAAAAAAACGCCCGAACGGTTTTAATTCGCGCCATTTTTGTTTTCCTACTGAAAATATTTTCGGCCACGATTAAATAATTTAAAATGTTTTTTATTTCGAAGGCTCGAGGTGTTACGACACTTTAGAGCAGACAAACAAGACCTACTAGATATTAAACTTTGATCTTATGACGTCATCACGGTGACGTTTTTTTAATTAAAAAAATAAAAAAATAGCATTATAAGCGCGTTATTGCCATTTTAAATATTTCGCCGCGTGACGGACGCTTAAATTCTATTTTCCTGTCATCAAACTCACGACGATCATAAAACCGTTTTTTTTTTTTGTTATCGCGGAGGTGTGATTTATCAAAAGTAACATTTGACCTTTGAACTTTTAATTCGTGAGTGTTTTTATTAATTAATTATTTGAAAATGTTATAAAATCGACAAAGGATTCGACGAAAAGAAAGAGGGCGAAATTCGGGAGCAGGGTACTACTACTACCTATCGATCGATAGAAAAACGTGTCATTAGAAAATGTATTTTAAGGGTTTTTTGTATTTTGTTGTTCAGGTTGTGAAAAAAGGCCAGGAAGAAAGCGATCTTGAAAGGATACAAGATTTATTTCCTGGTGACGCATTGGGACTCTACGATAAAGACGCTTTAACAATGCGTATGAAAGGTTTGATACGTAAAAGAAGTACGACGGCATCGAAATTACAAAGAGCTCTCTCGGCGAAAAGAACGGAACCGGAAGAACAATCATTACCGAAAGATGGACAAGACAAAAGAGTTTTCCTATTGGAAACACCCGTACAATTCACAACGGTAAGTTCAAAAATTTAATTTTTATTTATTTTCGTACAATTTTTAATACGTTTCCGGTTCCGGAATAATTTTTTTTTTTTGTCTGGTTTTTCAGGGCGTTCAAAGTCAGGAAAGACATTTGTTTTTATTCAACGATTTATTACTCGTTGCAAAAGCACGTTCGGGTGGTAATTTCAAATTGAAAGAAAAAGTAAGAATATCCGAAATATGGATGACAAAATGTTCCATGGAAGACGTTATCGAAGTTCACAAAAGTCAAGAAACTTCTTTCGTTATCGGTTGGCCGACAACCAACGTCGTTGCTACTTTCAGGTAAACAAACAAAAACGATGCAAATTATTTTTTATTATTTTTTTTCGCCACTGCCACTAATTTTACCCGACGCGTCTTCTGCTTTCTTATCTGATTTATCGTGTATTTAGACAGTCTGATAAGTGAAAGAACATTTTTAAAATATTATTTCTTATCTATTTCCACGGTCGGTAAGGAATTTTGGTGGTAGGTACATCATCATCATCAACAACAACCCATAAAGAGAGGGTAAATATCATTATTATTATTATCGTTCCACTTCGAATTACTTATTCTTCTCTCCCTCCCCCCTCTCTCCCCCTTTTTTGTTAGGATTTCATTGTGTTTGATTAATTGTTTGGAAAAAAAAAAAAAATTTTTTTGAAGGTGAAAATTTTTTCCAACTTGATTTCCTCATTTTTTTTTTTTTTTTTTTTTTTTGGAAAATTTCATCTCATCGAAATATCTGGAACGTTACTCGATTTCCTTGTGACGTCACGCACGAAAATCGTGGGAAAGAGGGAGGGGCTGTGGGAAGAACGTGGATGATTCGAAGGATTCGAAATGATGAGAATGTTTGTTGATCGGGTTAAAATTTTGACGAGTTTATTATTATTATTATCATTATTTATTTTAAACGAGTCCCTGGGGGAAGGGGGTAGGAGATGGGAGAACGGGGGGAGGGTAACGTTCGAAAGAAAAAAAAATTTCCAGAAAAGTGTCGAGTTATGTTAATGTCACGCGTTAATGTGTCTGTCGGACGTGTACCACGGATGGTAATGGAAAAAAATGTAAGATAATCGTGGAAGAAGACTAATTTTTTTTTTTTAAATTATCAGCGACATGCTTTTAAAAAAAAATGTTAACTATTGTTAGTAGTAGGACCGTAGTCAGAGAGACAGTCAGTCAGGCACGTCGTCGTGTAATAATCAGCCAGTCGTCAGACAGGCAGCAAAAAACCAGACGAAAAAATGAAAAACGGACAATTTTATTATTATTATTATTATTTAAACCGGTACATAATACCCCACTCTTATTCTCACAGCAGCAAAATCTTTTTTTAAAAAAAAAAAAAAAAAAAAAGAATAAGATCATAAAAAAAAGGTAATGAAAATAATAATAGAAAAGAGAAAAAGAAAGATAGAGAGAACGAGTTCACGAGGTAAAAATATACAACAACAACCAACAACCCTTAGTTGAGGGATTACCTGAATCGACCAATCAGGTGAAAGAATTTTTTTTTTTATTCTTTTCTGGGGAGGGGAGGTAAAAAAAAAAAAGTTTTGCATTTATGTTCATATTTCTTATTATTATTATTATTCGATCTTGTACCACCAGCTGATCGATCGATTCGTGATGAGTACAAAATTTAAAACATAATTTTATTTATAAAAAAAAATTTTTCTTGTTGTTGTTGTTGTGGTTTAAATTTAACTTTTTGTTTTAAAGTTATATAAAAAAAAAAAAGTGAATGAGTGAGAGAAAGACGAGTGAGAAAGAGAGTGAGAGAGAGAGAGAGATAGAAAAAGTGAAAGAATTTTTTTTTTGAAGAAGAAACATAAAAATTTCAGTGAGTTTGTGCTTTGCTTTCTTTTGTGATCATCGCGTTTGTCGTTGTTTGTTCTCGTCGTCGTGTTTCTTACTGTGTGCGGATTATATGAAATCGTTATTTAAAAAAAAGCATTTATTATTATTATTATTACTATCGTTTACGTGGGATTAATATAATTTTGGGATTATAAATGGATTAATAGTAATAATAAATTTAAAGTTTGTGTTTGTTTTTGTGTGTTAGAGAGAGATAGATAGATAGAGGGAAAAATGAGATTGAAATTATCCGAGGAAAGTTTTGAATATTTAGCGGATGTTGACGAGGATTCTGTTGACACGACGACGTGTTGGTCGACGAAAAAAAATAGGAAAAAATTTAAAATCCGGTGTTTGTCGTTAGAATCGGATAAATTAATTAATGATTGTTGTCGCGTCGATTGTCTTAAATACAATCAAGACGAATTCGATTCCAGGCCGGTCACTCCAGTGTTATCATCGCAATGTAAAAAATTTAAAATGACAAACTGGAAATTACTGGAATGTAGGAAAAAAAAATTTAAAAAAAATTTATTTCCGTACGACGACGACGACGACGGGGAAGAAGAAGAAGGGAAAAGAAGGTAACAAACAACAAAAAACTATTTTTTTCTAACAACTTCCGCAGACCGTATATAAGTTTAGCACTTTTAAATCGTTTGTTTGTCTGTTCCTTCTCCGTTTGTTTGTTTGTTAACACGTTTGTTAATTTCCAAACGTTAAAATAGGAAAATAGTTATTATAATTTTGAATCGAATATTTTATTTATTAACAAAAAAAATCGGGCTCGTTGCCAACTTAAGGGAAATGAAAAAAAAAAAAAAAAAAACTTTGGCTTCATCTTTCATTCGAATAAGATTCATTAAAAAATCCGTTGAAGATTCTTTTGTATTCATTGCCAAATAAATAATAATAATGATAATGATAATAATGAAAAAAACAACGACAACGACAAACTCTCTTCCATCGTCATCATCGTCAAATCTCGCTCACGCTTTTTTTTTTTTTAGTTAATTTTGGAGTTTCCGCTTATTTCCGCTGCTTAATCACTGGATTACAATTTATGAGATTAAAAAACTTTTTTGGGATTAAGAAAATAAAAATAAAAAATTTTCGGATTAGATTATCGAATTAATCGTGGATTAATTGTTTTTTTTTTTCTGCTCGTAAGCAGAAGTTTTGTTTTTTTTTTTCGCCGACTCGACTAACTTTTTATAAATGCCGATCGACCATTTTGTTTTTTCGTATGGCAAAACGTTTCGCGTGATTCTTGTGACACTTTGAATTTAAAAAAATTATTTTGTTACTCGTACGTCTATGCCTTTTACCCCCCCATAACTAGGTGAATGCGAAAGGGGAAAATTCGAACGTGGAAGTAATTGAAAAAGTTGAAGAACGTTAAACTCGTTCCACGTTATTTAATCGAATTAATTAATATTTTGCAAATTTTTACCAGGTTGATTAAATCGATTAATAATAATAATAATAATAAATGATGAATTAGGGTTGTGGTGGTGGTGGATGAGGGGAAGATGGGGGGGTTCGTGATTCGTAACGGTTTCGTGAGTGTTTGTAGTAAACCACGCACACCTCTCGTACCTTGTTTCTCTTTTTCTTCATTTCCTTAATAAAACCTCGTACGCGACATCAGGTACGTTATAAATATATATATAAAAATATATTTTTATTTTTATATAGTATGAGGACGATGAACTCGTTTTGAAAAAATTCTTCTTATTCCGCGTCAAAACGAGATGAATTTTTTTTTTTTTTTTTTTGACAAGATACGTAATAGAAATATTTGGTTTTTTTTTCCTTATTCCTAAAGGGAGGGAAACTCGTAGGTCGTGGATGATGATAAGACAGGTAGGAGGAGAAGAGAGAGAGGGAGCATGGGGGGAGAGGGATGGTAAAATTTATTTTCTACTGCTACGTTTGTCTGAGTTTAATTTTTTTTTTTTTTCTTAGTGTCTGTCAATGAAAATAAGAATGATTAGTTTAAGATTCGTAAGCGGTTGAGTTCTCACTAATTACCAATTAACGACGACGGCAACGACGACTCGAATGGTACTTTATTATTATTATCATCATCATCACCATCATCACCATTTTCTTTTTTTTTTGTGTGTTTGTGATGGGAGAATTTAAGAGAAGATGAATTTGGTATGCGAGTTTGGGGAGTGTTCATCATTGTCGTAGCCACTACCACCGTTTCCACCTCCTTCCTGCTCCCTGCCTCCCCCCATGTTTTCCATCATCGTCGTCGTTTTTGACGTCATGTCTTCTTATTCGTTATACTTTTTCCAATTTTTCATTACATTTACTATTATTATTATTATTAATAATAAATTGGGTTTGTAAGTTAAATTGAAAACTGGGCGGTCACATCGTCGCGTTGTTGTTGTTGTTGATGTTGATGCTTTCACGTTTGTTGTTGTTCTTTCTTTCTTTTTTTTTTTCTTTATAATTTTTTTTGTCCTTATTTTTTTATTGTTGTTCTCATTTTAAACAAAACAAAAAAAAATTTGATGGGTACATCGAGTCGTTAAATTTTATGTTGTGGATTTTTTTTTTTTTTTTAATGGCGTCTGACTTTTTGGAAATTATTACCTAATTTTTTTTTCATTTTGTTTTGTTTTTGACGTTGAGTGATTAAAAACAAATTTATATTAACTGTAATATCGTTTGTCGTTTGTTTATTAGATTTTTTATTACTCGTTTTTTTTTTTTTAATAGCACACAAGCTACTAGAGATTTGTGGTGGAATAAATTAAGCGAAGTCGTTGCCATTGAAAGAGAAAAAGAGCCAAAATCGACTAATATTCAAGTATTGTACAACGACGTATCGACGGGTATCGAATACGTAAGTACCAGACATGAAACGTTAATTGAATTCTAGAAAAGGTTTTTTTTTTTTTTTTTGTCGAAAGACAACAATTAGACAATCAAACCGTCTCCAATATTCTAGACGACAGTCTGCTTACAAAAAAAAAAAAAAAATTTTTTTTTAAAAATATGACTTCGATACGAATGGAGGAGAAGGGTACCCACGATAACGCTTACCTGTGTGCGTGCGTGTGAGTGAGTGAGTACGTGCGCGGGTACATGGTTTTTGTTTGTTTGTCTGATTGTCTCCATGTGCATTAAAAATTTTTCGTTTTTTTTTTTTTTTTCATTCGATAAGGGTTGTAGTAATAGTAATTATTATGATTAAACAGGTAAAAACGTTTAGCATCGGACCACACGACACTGCCACTAGATGTATAGCACTAGCATTAGATCATTTAGAAATGAGAGGTTTAAACGCGGCAGAATTTCAACTTTGGGCGAAAACGTCGAGAGACGAAGCACCATATCCGCTCATAGGTCACGAAAGACCCTTTGCCATTAAATTAAGTTGTCTTCGAGAGGGTTTGAGCACGGAAGAAGGTTTCGATTTGGATCATTGCAATAACGTACACGGACCTGACATGCTCACGAGGTGAGTTTTCCTACTTTCCTTTAAAACTTATTAGGTTCTTCATTTAAAAGGATGGTCGAGTGAATTTGTCTTATGGTAACCTTTCAGGTGCCAATTCATATTAAGAAACATACAAAGGCCGTTGGAATGTGCGAGCGCGGAAGGGAAAAAAGATAGGAAGAAGAGTAGGAAATCACCCATGAGAATACGTCACGTGTTCAGACGCAGCGTTAATAAGGACGATTGCGTTGATCATCCATATCCAGGCGTACTATTTGGTCAACCTTTGTCGAAAGTTACTGATGGAGAGTTACCGCCGCCCCCCGTTATGGTGAGATTCTCTTTTAAAATTATGATGATCCCTCATAACGATGTCTTAAATGTTTAGGTTTCACGCAAATGAAAAATTAACGTTTAATTTCGTGTTTTAAGGTTCACATTATGTTTTTATTTATTTCATCGAGGAAAAACGTAATTTTGTTGTTGTTGTTTCCTCTCTCTCTCTCTCTCTGTCTCCCTTTTATAACGAGTTTTTTTTTTATCTTAGAAAAATTTTATGTTTTACCAGGTTTTTTTTTTTAATGAACATCATACAAAAAAATGTTGTTTTCACTTAATTTAATTGTGATAATAATTGTTTTTATGTTTCAGTCTATGTTTCAACAAGTTTTTCAAAAGGGACCCTTTACCCAAGGTATATTTCGTAAATCAGCCAACGCTAGACTAGTCCGAGAATTGAGAGACAAGTTAGATAGCGGAGAAGACGTACAATTGGACGTGGTACCTGTGTTGGTCACTGCCGCATTGTTAAAAGAATTTTTAAGGTCCCTACCGGAGCCTCTACTCGGGTCGACTCTATACCCCCTTTGGTTGGAAGCTCTCAATTGTGGTAATCAATCGGAGCGTCTTCTCCGTTTGAAAAGTCTCGTCGAACAACTTCCAAAATCGAATCAAATCCTTTTGGCTCATTTCCTATGCGTACTTCATCACATTGCGAGAAAATCATCTTTGAATTTAATGTCCGCCGGTAATTTGGGTGTTTGCGTCGGACCGAGTTTACTTTGGACTCCTTGCATGACTCCGGCAGGTTCAAAAGCCGTTCCCGCTTTGGTCGAAGCATTAGTCACACACTGTGAAGTTATAATTGGACCTCACGTACCGCATTTATTAGGAGAACCGCCGGAAAGGCCTCAAGATAGCGGTGCCGAAGAATCCGATAGCCTTCATTGTAAGCCTCTTAAAAATTTTTTTTTTCTTTTTCCTTTTATTTCTTTTTTTTTTTTTTTTTTTCTTTGAAGATTAAAAATAAATTCGAACGTGTTTTAATAACGATAGGTAATAACGATTTTTGTTACGCAGCTGGTGGTCTTCGGCGAGATGATTCATCAATTGACTCCTTAGAAAGAGAACTACTTGATCCACCTAGGAAAGATAAAATGTCATTAAGTCGGGATTCGGGATTAACTATGTCGGATTCACAATTGTACACTCCGGATGAAGAAGAAAGCACGTCGAGTAGCAGTTGCGGTTCGGGTAGAGGTGTTTATTCAAACACAACAACTCCTACTCACGCAAATAATTATCATCCGCACAATAAGGTAAGATTGGCAACACTGATTGATTGGATTTTTTTTATTTTTCAAATATCGAAATCTAATTTACAACACTCCTCGAGAAAGGGAGGAAAATAAAAGGCAAATGAATGGAATTTTATACAAGGAAATTAATTATTTTCAGGTATCGCCTTCGTATTCGGTACCGGGAGGCAATACAAATTTAGCTCCATCCGCTTTGACGACTACGCCCAATAGGAAATACGTACGAGTTTATAGAGGATGGGAGGAAAGAGTGCAAGACTGTTGCCGCAATCGTTCAAATTCAATTTACTCACAAACCGTTAGATCGGGATCGGGAGTGATAAATTCAAATTTTCAAAGGCAAGATTGGTTTAGGCAGCGGTCGCAATTGAAACGACTCAATTCCGGTGGAATTCCGACGGATTCGACGGGAGCAAGGTCGGCATCCCAAGAATCCCTACTCGGGAGTCATTCCAAGGAACCGTGCGAAACGACGACCGGGAGACAAATGATGTGCAAAGAACGTAAATTCCAACACCTTCCTCCCGTGCACTTGGATCCGCTTCCGGATGAGAAAAAGTCGGCGGAGAGAAGGGGAAGGTTACGACAGCGAGAATTAGCACACAAAACAGCCGCTCAACGTTCTAAATCACTTCCTCCGCTCGAGGAACATACGAGGCACGATAGCGTGGATCAAAAGTGGTATTCTCCTCCGAACGGAGAAAATTGGAATCGGTCGGGATACGATGAAACAAATTATTCATGTAAAGTGCCAGACGTGGTGGTGACGAGGACGAAAAAAGACGGTCACAGTGTTCACAAAAGCATAAATTCTAATCGTAATCACGTGAGAGACGATTTAAAAAAATTAGAAAACACGTTACCACCCTTGCAAAAATCTCGAACTATCGAAATCCCTCCTCCGTACAGGCCTCCTCCGACGGTGGGCACGACGAGTCTCAATACGAGAGCACCCATCACGACGTATCACCTGAGGAAAGCCTTATCGAGAAGAATAATTATCGATCAAGACGACCACCAAGAAGAATCGTACGTTTGAAATCTTCCAATTACCTGTCCATGTTACAAGTATGTTTCACGTGCCATTCATTCTACAAGTGTATATTATTTTCATTATTATTATTATTACTTCGAACGGTTCTCGACCCCCCGCTTTCCCCCAAAAGAGGGGTGAGGTGTTACCGCAATCAATGTCGTCAACGCCAAAATAAAAGAACCACAAGAAAGAAGAAAGAAGAGAGTGGGAGAGTTATTTCACTTGTGAAATGGTCACAAGGCAACCAAAGTTCAAATTCACACACACACACGTACATATATATATATTTACATACGCACACGCACACACCCCACATGTACACATTCGCGCGCGCGATTATGTATTGACCGACTACCTGTTGGGGGTAGTTACCACATTGCAAACATTAGAAATTTGAATGATGCGAGTATATTATAGCATTTCTTTCATCGTAATTATTATTATTATTATTCGTGCCAAGAGTGCACAATTAAAAATGGCGGCATGTTAATTATTATTATTATTATTATATATTGACGGAAAGGGAAAACGATGTCGAACGTTGTTATTTCTTTCAAATTAATATATATATATATATATATATATATTATTATATCGTTTTATTTCCGATAGGAAATCGCAGCCATTTTTTTTCTCATTCTCATTCTTATTTTAATAAGTGTGTTCGATTAATAAATTTTCTAATTATTATTATTATTATTGTTTTTTTTTAAATTAAATTAAATATTAATAATAAAAAAAAAATTGTGTCATATAAAAAAAAATTATATTATATATATATATAAATGTTTTTTCTGTTGATAGTCGTTTATTTTGTTACGAAAGCTCACAAATTTTTGACCAATATATAAAAAAAAAAAAAAATTATTTTAATTGTTTTTTGCTTTTTTTTTTTTACATATACACATATAAACAAACGAACAAACAAACAAACAAAACAACCGTTTGTATAAACGTACACTATTTTTTTTTTGTTCATTACAACTACTAATACTATTTACAATTATGATTATAAAGTGAACTTTGGCGACATTATACGGTAAGTTAGTATACAAAAAAAAAATTATTTAAAAAAAATATGCGTGTATTACACGTGTACACGCGCACGCACGCACGTGTGTAAAAACTAAAATATAAAAATAATAAAAAATACACTGGACGTTAAACATTGATTAGTCAGAGAGTTGATGAGAAGAGAGTGAGTGAGTGAGTGAAAATAATTAATATTTAAATAAATAATTATTATCATGACGTGACCTGTCACGCATCATTGTAATAATAATAATTATTATTATTATTATTGTGTCAAGTGATTTAAAAAAAAAAAAAAAATCTCTATAAATTTTTATAATTTATTTTGATGACGTTTTCTGTGAAATCGTAACCTTCAATGAAATCGCATATGACGACGTTAACGCCACCCATTCCGCACGTTTTAGTTTCCAACCAAGAAACAATTTTTTCATTTGATTTATATGCCAATTTTTTCAAACTACCAAATGTGTGTAGTGTTATGTATTTAACATTCGGCGTCAATATGGCTTGAGTCACGTGACCCATTCCATCTTTCCTTTCTGTTAAACCCTTATTTAAACATTCCAATAATTCGTTAACGTCGATTTTATCGTGCCAGGGAGTGTGCCACGTTCCCGATGGCCAAAAAATATCATTTAATTTTGTTATTATATGCCTGTACACGATTAATATTTGATTTCCAAATTGTCTAAATAAATCCAATGTGTTCTCTCTCATTCTTCTATCCCTTCGACATATTTTATCATCGAATATGTTCACCAATAGAGTTATCATTCTTTCGTGATCCTCCGTTTTGAATTCGTAAAAATGTTGAAAATCTAATACGACAAATTCTTTCGGGTGAGACGTTAAAAATTGATTGATTTCCTCTAGGAAACCTTGTATCCGTCCACCGTATAAACCGTGAGCTACAACTATATCGTTATTTTTATATATAACCAATCTTATATCGAAATATCTTATCCCTAAATATAATTGTCTAGTGACATCTTGTTGTTGACCCTGTGACCATTTGAATATAATTTTATTTCCTAGGGGTTTACACCATTTTCCAATATTTTGTACAACCAATGGAGAATCTGGACTCACACCTGAATTAGGTGATATACTGTAGCTGAACGAATTGTGAGAACCTAATGGGTGACACCGAAAACACATCATTAATCTCTAACCCTTCTCGTTTTTTCATTTTCATTTAATTAAACACACTCTCCATCCCAAATTATTATTATTATTATTTAAAGCAAAATCCCTCAAATACTAAATGTAAAATTTGTTAAGTTTTAATAATAATAATGATATGTCATGTGAAATTTTATTATTTATTTAATAAATGTGTGTGTGCGAGTGTAGGTCACTTGGCACAATTTTTATTTAATGAAATTAAGAATGAATATAAAAATATGTGACCTTGTAAACAACTTTTGCGCAATTAAATATTATTATTATTATTAACAGCATCCTTCTTTGTACGTTTATATTGTAGAGTGAATATGTTATATACTTTGATGAATTGATTTTAAATTATTAATTATTAAAAGCGAAAAAAGCGTTATTTATATATATAGAAATAAAACAATTACCGGGTATTGCCAAATAAATGAATGGGATTTGGGTCAAATTTTCTGGTAAATATTCCATCCAACTTTCTAAATTTATTCTAAAACTTTTCAAACTTGGAATTGGTGATTTAAGTAATTGTGAGTTTGAATTTGATATTCCTGCTCTTGATTGTGCATCCCTAGAAATTATTTTAAATGCATTAGAATTGACTAGATGTAATGTGCTCATGTATGTAAATACAAATAATTTATATAATTCACTTCATATTCAAAACATATTACAAAATAAAAAAAAAAAAAAAAAATGAAAACAAAAAATTTGGTTAAATATTTTTTTTTTGGATCACTTACTCCATGTTTACTTTTAATTGGTCGGTTTTTTTAACGCTGCCGTTATTATCGAAAATTCAACTTTTCAAATTCAAAACGCGGAATATTTTTCTTACAAACAAAATATAAATTATTCGTTGAAAGTTTTATAAAAACTAAAAATAATAATAACGTGTTATTAATGCGACGCAATTAAATTTTATCCTTGTAAATTTATTTTAAAAATAATTTTTTTTTTGTAAAAAAAAAAAAAAAAATCCAGGAGGCATTGCATAAATTACACGTGCTGCGCTCTATCAGATTTTTAACGAATTAGTAATATATATTCATAAGCTAAGTAAGACTACGTAATAACATAACGTTCAAGTACGTTTCGTACATTTAGTTTGTGTGGAGTCGCAGTTAGCCGAGTATCTTAGAGGAAAGGAGTTTTTTTTGTGAAAATTAATAATTTTCGTTTAGTTTGTTATATATTTATATATAAATATATATAATATTATTTCTTAAATAATGGCCGAAGAAAACGGCGAAAATGGTTCCGTCAATGGAGACGTTCCAGAAATAGAACTTATAATTAAGGTAAATTACAAAAAATTAAACTTTAAATTTTTATTCTTTTGACTATGACACACAAACGCCCATGTTTTTTTTTTTTTAACATTACTAATGGCGCGGAATGAAATAACTATAGGACACATAACGTTCGCAAAAAAAAAACTAAAATTTTGTTTTAAAAATGAAAACGTTATGCATTCTATATTATTTAAAATTGTTACATGGAAAATTATGTCAGGTAATAAATATATATATATATATATATATATATATATAAATTTATGTATGCACGATGAGGACATGAGTTAAATTATTTTACCTCAAGGTCATTTCAAAAAATCGGTTACGTCTTAAATATACATCTTTTATATGAAACGTATAATAATTTTTTTTTTAAGAATTAGTAGTCTTAAGAACTTTTTTTTTTGATTACTTATAGTTAATTATAATCACAATCATCATCATTATAGTTACTCTTATTACTATTACTTAACACTGGGTAATTTTTTTTTTTTAATTGTTCCCCCCCCCACTCCGCCATTACTTTTACACTAATTGAAATTTTGTTAATTAAAATGTGTGACAAAATTTAAACCTGAATTCACATAATATTTAGTCCTACATATAAATATGCATACACACACACACACATATATATATATATATTTTAAAATTACTTTTCGACTCATGTGACTCATGTTTTTCTCTCTCTCTCTCTCTCTCTGACTATTTTGCAAAAGTCTTTTGGTACAAATTAAAAAAATCAAACAAAAGATGTTGCAAAAAAAAAAAAAAAAGAATTTCTTTCCTCGATTTATTTGTTTGTATCAAATTTTTAAAAAATGGTTTACTTTATTAAATATTCAGACATGATTTAAACCATAAATGAGAGAGAGAGAGAGAAATACATCTTGCTTTTGAGTCATTGATAAATGGTTACAAAATGATTATTTATAGTTTTTTAATTTATCATTGCTTAATCTACCACAATAATCCACAATGTGTGAGTTGTTTTTTGTCGAAAATGAAATAATAATAATAATAATTTTTTTGTAACATGAAAAACTCTTATCGATAAGTTTTCATCACATGTGATATACACAATGAGTTACAAAAAGGAAAACAATTACACCATGTTATGAAATTATTCGAATTCGAATGAAAGTCACATTAAATGAAAAAAAAAAAAAACTGGGAAAATCCATATTTAGTAATGATATTCATAATAATAATAATAATAACAATAATAATAAATTTATTACTTGTGAAACTTCTTTTCTCTTCTTCTTCTTATTTTTCAAATTGTTGGCCTCACCCTCATTTCAAACAATTTCATAATCCATATATCGAGTTTAAATGTGAGGTTAAGCCCAAAACAAATTCTTTATATACCATTTGCTCTTAATTGAAATTTTTATCCATTGTTGGTTTTGTTCTCTCTTTCTCTCTCTCTCTCTCTCTCTCTTTTTGGAAATTTTAACATTTTACCAAACAATATAACTGTTGTCTTGTTTAATTTTGCTCGGTGTAATAGCAGAAGAAAATTTTGAGGGATCAGTCGAGAAACCATTTTATTATTTTCCTAAAAATATGATAAGTTTTTGTGTGTGAAAGTAATCGAAATTTATTCATTTGAATTTTTTATTATTATTATTATTATTAGAATGTGTGTGTAATGTGCGAGTGATTTATAATGTTTCTCTCTCTCTCCCTCTCATTTTCTTTCTATATGTATATATTTCTTTTTTCTTTCCCTCATTAACTTTCCCATTAATTAATAATTATTTAATACTTGTTGTTGTTGTGCAAATTATGGAAGAAATAATTATCATCATCATTATTATTATTATTGTTTATTAGGGATTTTGTGTTTTTTCTTGCTGGTTTGAAAATAAAACATCATTGTTTGAGAGAGAAACTTTTGAGAAATTCATTTGGGTGTCAGTAACATGTAAAAAAATTATTTTGGATTTGGCAGAAATAAATTGAAGAATGGTGGGAAGAGTCTCGTTTCCCTGTCACTCCCCTCTCCTCTCCCTGCCCCCCCATATAAACACACATGTCGACTCAGTTTCTAATATTCCCGATTTAGTTTTTTTTGTTTTTCGTATTAAATTCACGACTCGTTTTCTGGCATATCTGGCAGGCAAAAAAAAAATTTAATTTGAATACAATTGTATCAGAAATTGAGCATGTGAAAGTCACGACTCGTTTATTTTTCACTTAGGCTTTAGCCCGAATGCGTTCGATTATTATCATTTTCATTGGCGGAGCATCGTCCTTGAACAAACGACTCCCCCCTCTCCCTCTCCCCACGTAACGTAACAAACGGAGAAACGGTTTCGAACGGTTGGAGAGGCCCTTGGTTTATTTAGTGTCGTCGTCTTCCAATAATAATCTTTTATACAAATGTGAAAATTTGAAACCTCTCCCTCCCCTCCAAAAAAAAGAAAAGGTTTTCGTATGAAAGGAAAAGGTTACGATGCCCTAAAGACGTATGAGGAAAAGGTTACTAAACCTTTGTCCTCTCTCTCTCTCTCTCTCTCTCTCTCTCTTCGAACGGCACCACGAATGAATTTGACGTTTAACAAAAAAAAAAAATAAAAGTTATTAAAACGAGTTTTATTTTTAGTGCGATTCGAGTAAAAGTGAAAAAAGAAAGAAAAATGGCGGTCGTTATTATAAAAAAAACATAAAAATAAATAAATAAAATAAATAAAGAGAGAGAGAGAGAGAAAACACACGGGTTTGTTCGTCAGATACGATTTTTTATGGCTGTGGAATTTTTTTTTTTTTTTTTTTTTTTTTTGCTTTTGTCACATCCACTTTCTTCTGCTTCGACAATAACGTGTTTGTTACACCCAGACGAAGTGAGGAAGTGATTTTTTTTTTTTTTTTTTTTTTTATTAATATTTTTATTTTTACTTTCTGAACGTTACGATGTTGTTGCTACTGCCACGTTCCCTCCCCCTGTCCCCGTTGCGCGATTCCACGTTATGTCAGAATTAAATTATTTTTCAATTTTCTTTTCTATATTAATTATCGTCAATATTATTATTATTATTATCATTACTATTATTATTATTATTATTATCATCATTTTTTTTTGAAAAGCCATTGTCTACCAGGTTAATAATGAAATAACGTTATTTAGTATTATTATTATTAGTATTATCATTGGTATAGTTTATTATTATTATTTTTTTTTTTTTTTTTCAATTCAATGTTCACTTTTTTTTTGTTTGTTTGTTTGTTTTTCCCCTGGTAGACACGGTTTCCATTTACAAAATTATTATTAAGTTACAAAATAATTGTGAATAAATCAAGAAAGAAAAAAAAAAAAAAAAACAGAAAACAGAAAACGAAACAAAAACAAAACAAACATATTGTGGATTTAAAAACAAACGAAAACCGTGTGTGTGTGTGTGTAGATTCATTGACCTCAAACTTGCTGAACGTTTTTTTTTTATTTATTATTATTATTATTATTATTATTATCATTATTATTATTATTATTATTATTATTATTATTATCATTATTATTATTATTATTATTATTTTATTTTGTTGTTATATTTCACTTTATGAAATTTCGTACGGGCGTGATTTATAATCGACTTTTTTTTTTTTTTTTTGAACGTTTGGTTGTTGTTTGTTTTTATTTTTTTTTTTTCTCTTCTCCATTGTTGGCCATCGTCGGTGTAGTTTCGTCGTTTTCAGGTACGAACGTACCTGGCCGAATCGAATTTGGATTTTTTATTGTCGTGAGTGTGAGAAAGAGAGAGAAAGAGAAACAGTTTGCCGTGTTATATTTTTATTTATTTTATCCGTGATGAAAATATTTGGCAGCAGGAAATGCCGAAAAAAAAACACTCCCGTTTGTTTGTTTGTTTGTTTGTTTTTAATATTTTGCAGTTTTGATTTACGCCCTTTACGTCCGTTTGTTTTTTTTTTTTTTTTTTAAATAAGTAACGTGGTATTATAAAACTCTTTACGAATAATCGATGCCCTCTTCAGTTTTCCCGAGATGCTGGGTCACGATCAAGTTTTTCTTTCTCTCTCTCTCTCTCTCTCTCTTTCTATCAAGACTTTCTCTCGTCGATTGTGCACTTCTGTTTTCGCCGGTTTGCTTTCTCTTTTCGTATCAAACGTGTACGCAGAAAATACGACGACGATTCGATCGAAGAGAACGAGAATCGAAAAAAAAAATTGTTAAAATCACGTTTGTTATATCACGAGAAAGTTTGTCTGTCGTCGCTTTTTATTATTATTATTATTACTTTTTTGTTTGTCGTCGTCGTCGTCGTTCGTTTGTTGGTTTCTTATCAGTCCTCTTGACGTCAT